CCCTACACTTCCATATTTTCTGAAGAGAAAGTCTTATGCCTCTGGGTTACCCAAGTTTATTTCAAAACACTTTCCTAAAGACAAAAAATATGATCTTCAAATACTTATTTTCCTTTTTTTCTGGAAATACTTTAAATGATAAGGAAAAAGCTCAACAGTTTGGTAAAACCATACATGCACTGTGAGATTTAGGACAACAGATTATTATATTCTTCAAACACTGGCATACATACCAATGAGTAAATAATTGTAATATTTTGCTCTCTAACCTTGCAGTTTATGTGTAACTGGAAGAACAAATATTCATGCTTATACTATTTCTTAATGAAAATTAAGTGCTCTGTTGAGTTTTACAGCTACTAACTTTTACCCAGAAATCATCTTCCTTCATTGAACAAATACGTATGTATCATGATCTCCTAACTCCTACTGGATTGTGCTTTGTGGAAGTGCAGAAATGTTACTATGAACAACTATACTAACATAAGTCTCTGGTGCAGCATCTCTCATTTGGAAGCCAACTCATTATCAAATGCAAATATTTCCATTATCAATGTAACTGTCATTTGATACTGCTAGTCATCAGCTTCCCCTTAATAATACTTGATAACTAGAACACTGGACTGCTTTGTTGGAGTTGGGTACTTTGGGCCAAAAGCACAGTAAGACTGAAAAAAGCATAGAACTTGATCTATCAGTTATTAAACTGGTGAATGTTGGTGTCAGTCACACTGGGTTGGCAGACAAGCTGCTGAAGTTTACATGAGTTTCAAAGCTGACACTACGTATTTATTTCATTAAGTACTTCTTAGAAACACCTGTAAGAACTGTGTAAACACACTGTACTTGAAGGCTGTGGTGATGAACCTCCTTACTTACCTTGTACGACCTGAATACCAGCAAACACTGAGTAACAGAAAAACCTTAGAGCTAATAAAATGTTAACTGTCTGAATACCCTAAGTCCAGTCGCTTCTCTTGTTGATGGAAGTGAAGCAAAGACAGTAACACTAAAAAGCCAGTTATGGTAAGGAACAGTGGACTGTATCTACTAAATGGGCTGCAAATAATAGAAAAGCAAAAACAGGAACACAGAGCAAAAAGCAGTATCTGAAGGACCAAAGTAACAAATAGTAACAACAGAAAGATTTTGAAGTTTGTTTTCCTCTATATCTGAGTCCTTCCATACTAACATTACTTCCGTCCAAGAATGCCTACATCCTCCTTAATATTCATTGTCCTTCATTCAATACCTTTGTCTACTCTGCTACCATCAAACAGTATGCCAAACAAAATTTAGGCCGAAATTTTATCTGCAAACACATTCAACATAAACATAGCCATATATCTTTAGGTAAGAAACTACATACTAAAATACAAAATAATGTACAAATGCTTTAAATTAATAATTATGTAACTATTTATTTGAGAAACACACTAACACACAAAAATTATACACGTGTGTGTATATATATATATACGCCAAAAAATGGAAGTGAGAGGATAAAGTGGCAAAGGTATTAAAAAAATACTTGTACAAGAATGTGATACAGAGATGCAAAATGGGCAACTAGAATCAGTAGGTCCTAAACAGAAGGAAGAAACGTAGGTACTGGCACAATAGCCACTTCCAGGTGTGGATAACATTATTGTTCTTATAATGCTCATTCCTCACTTCTGATAAAATATTTTCAAAAATCAACTACAATAAGAATTAAAATATGGCTCGTTCAGTCTGCCACTATTTATAGTCTTGCCCTGAGCCACAAAATGCAGCCAAGTCCCAGGACTTAATGCATTCAGTTATCCATGAAAACTCCTAAGTGCAGTCAGGCTGAGAGATGAGTGTCTTGTATGACCCTTCCAGCCCACTTAAGTGGCTCCAAATCAGCATCTCCCAGCTAACTAATCACTAGATCTGCATTATTAGAGAGCATCTATGCTGTGTGGGAACTAAGGTAAGTATGTCAATGACCAGATTAGAATTATCATTTGATCTGAATTAAATCTGAGCTAACAGCCTTCTGCTGACGGCCAAAACACACTCCAAACACATAATCTGTTTCTAAAAGTCAGAGTTACCCTCGTGCAGGTGCGACCTGTATGATAAGAATCATCAATTTTCTTACGTGGACACAGTCATACTTTACTGTCTGTCCATTACTCTAGCTTACTTCAGAAACGCCGAACAGTGAAACAGATTATGTTCTCAAAAACTTGATCTCCAGAATCGAGATATTAAAAAATGCTACTGAAAAAGAGTTATGGCTAAACTGCACAGCCCCTTGAAGAAGAAAGAGCTCACAACATTTACTGGGACAGGCATCCATCAGCATGATTTGTAGTTCAAAGTATGCATGATGCTTGTATTGGTCTATTTTTTTGCAGTCCTGCTTTCCTCATTTTTCTTATGAAACCCCAGTTTTGCCCAAATGTATGTTGTTTACTTTCCAGAGTTTAATTAATTTCATTTGAAGCCTCTTTCCTGCCAGTGAAATCTGCTTTAGGAGTTCATTTGCTGTCCTTTCTATCATACGTGCTGATACTAATATACAGGACACTACAATGGTACTTTGCATTAGAGCAAAGTAGATATTTACCTTTAAACAAAACCAGGAATAGTCTGTAACTCAGAAAAAAACTTAATATTACACTTAAAATAAAAGCTACATTGGTATTTCACACAAATATTTCTACCCAATCTTTACAAATTTATATCCTGAAATTGCTTGAATGCATGTTTTTAGATACCAGTTTTTAGTATTTGGCTTCGAGTCATTAAAGAACAATTTAAGCTGCAAATTCTTACTGAACCCTGATTCTTTATTTTTAAATGTATATCTTTATTTATGTTTTATCTTTATTTTTATATTTTAAAGTCTATCTTCAGTAAATATACATGGCTTGACTAAAAACTCTGCTTGCTTAGCTGGTTATATGTTAAATTCGGAGCAGTGTTTTAAGCTATTAATCGGATCATCATAAAAAATTCCAACTCACCTTAATTATACAGAAACACTACATTTACTTAAATGCTAACTGTAAATTATAACCAGAAATAGTGAACAGACAAATGGAGAGAAGTAGATAAAGAATAAATAAGGCTAATCTTTTGCAAGCAACTTACCACAGATGCACCCCTGCCAGTTTGAGTACTACCAAGCCAAGGCATATTGATAGGCGTGCCGGGATTACTATGGGTATAAGGAGTGGTTCCCTGAACATTTACCAGATCATCACGAGCATGTATTACTAAGAAATCATCAGCCCTACAAATGAAACAACATTATAAATTAGAGTCCAAACAACAACAACATTAAATCCCATGCTTTGTTACACTGATTTATACACAGTCAAGCTGCAATACTGGAAACATGGAAAGTATACCCTTTATTTTCTATTTCCACATCATCATCAACCCAGGTATAGATTTGTGTAGCCAAAATCGCAGAAACATCTAACTCTTGAATGTCATGACTTGATGCTATTGCAATGCAGTTCCGATTTGCCTGAAAAAAAACCACAAAGGTAGATACAAAAGGAATACTTTAAGGAGTGCTATTTTTTTTATTTTCATCAGTTACAGTACAGTTGTTAACAAAAACATACACTTAATCACCAAACCCAAACACTTATGTGTACAATGTATATACCAAAAGTGCTTAAATTTGACATTCCATTTTAAAAGTTTAATTGCATCTGGAATAGCATCACACACTATTTTTATTTCACACCTTTCTCAAGCAGCAATATTTTCTCCTTCCTCTCCTCAGAAGATAAATAAAAGGTAACTTATACTACAATGCTTGCAACCAACCTCACATCCTCCACTTCTTAAGCCTTAAATGGCTAAACAGGAGGAAAAAAGAGGACTTTTTGGTTGTTTTTGACAGTGAAGGAAAAATACTACTATGCACAAGCATAAAGAAAAAGTAGAGGCCACCTCTCCCTGCAATGCATTTGCACAATACAAAAAAAAAAAAAGACAAGTTGTAGCAGAACTGTTTAATTATGAAAAGATAATTATAAAGAGAATTCAATCTGTAACAGAATGGCTGGCAAAGGATATCTCACCCATTCTCAATGGGAGTACTACTTGCTTATGTGGTGGAAGTACAACAAAATAAGAGAATCCTACCTCCTTTATACTCACTTTATTGACTGCAAAAGCAGTAATGATGTCAGACTCTTTGTGGATAATTCGTGCTTTGCCCCCTGGGTATCCCAAATCTGTTTCTATCTGTATTTAAAAATTAAGCATAATAATAAAAAAAAATAAAAAAAAATAATAAAAATTTATATGCAACACTACTTTTACTGGAAGTACAAAGACCAAACACTGTACCATATGAAATGTTATGCATTATTTTCTTGATTTTAATTCTAAGAAAACATGACAAATAAAACATGGAATCAGGAATGCTGAAAACCAGTAAGGCAACATGCACACCTGGGATGCTGATAATAAAAAAATCAAGTTCTGATGTTTTATTCTTTAAAAAAAAAAAAGCTAAGTCTTTTAATGCTCTTAGCAAACACTTTTCACCACTGAAATATTCCAAACGAAAGTGCAGACAAGATCCTGAGCAGGAAAATAGCCTATTTATTCACCATTCTCCACAATTAAATAAATCTAGAATCCTGCACATGCCAGTAGCACAAATGTTTACGACATTTATTTTTTTTTCCTTAATGGGATCTAATAATCACAATTAAAGAGGAAGTGGTCAGAGACCTTCTGCACCACTTAGATGCACACAAGTCTGTGGGAGTGGATGGGCTACGTCCAGGGGTGCTGAAAGAGTTGGCAGATGTGATTGCCAGGCCACTTTCCATGATTTACCTGAAGGCCAGGCTAACTGGGGAGGTCCCAATGGACTGGAGGGTAGCAAATGTAACATCCATCTATAAGAAAGGCAGAAAGGAGGATCCAGAGAACTACAGACCTGTCAGTCTGATCTCAGTACCAGGGAAGGTTGTGGAGCAGATCATCTTGAGTGTTATTAGAAGACGTTTAGAGGATAAGCAGGGGATCAGGCCCAGTCAGCATGGGTTTATGAAAGGCAGGTCCTGACTGATGAATGTGATCTTTTTCTATGACCTGATGACCTGACTATTGGATGAAGGAAAGGCTGTAAATACTGTCTATCTGAATTTCCAAAAAGCATCTGACATGGTTCCCCATAAAACCCTCACTGCTCATGGCCTGGATGAGCATGTGATCTGCTGGATCAAGCACTGGCTGGACAGTCAGGCCCAAAGAGTGGTGGTCAATGGAGTCAAATCCAGCTGGGGCCAGTCACAAGTGGTGCTCCTCAGGGCTCAGTGTTGGGACTGTTTCTGTTTAACATCTTTATTGATGATCTTGATAAGGACGTATAGTGTATCATCAGTAAGTTTGCAGATGACACCAAGCTAGGCAGGAGTGTTGATCTGCATCAGGACAGGGAGGCTCTATAGAGACACTTGGATTGATTGGATTGTTGGGCTAATGTTAATGGTATGGGCTTCAACAAGGTGATTGTCCCCCTGTACTCAGCACTGGTGAGGCCACACCTGAGTATTGTGTCCAGTTTTGTGCTGGAGTGAGTACAGAGGAGGGCAACAAAGCTGGTGAAGGGCCTAGAGAATAAAGCTTATGAAGAACACTTGAAGGAGCTGGGAATGTTTAGTTTTAGGAGAAGGCTGATGGGAGACCTCATCGGTCTCTACAACAACCTGAAAGGTCATCGTAGAGAGGCTGGTGCTGGTCTCTTCTCACAGGTAATTAGCAACAGCACAAGGGAATGTCTTCAAGCTGCAACAGGGTAGGATTAAACTGGATATTAGGGGGAAAAAAAAATAACAGAAAGAGTGGTTAGACACTGGAATAGACTGCTCAGGGAGGTGATTGAGTCACCATCCGTGGATGTGTTTAAGAGTTGTTTGCATGTGATGTTGGTGGATGTAGTTTAGGGGAGAACTTTGTAGAGCAGGGATGATGGTGATACCAAGGGTCTTTTCCAATCCAAATAGTTCTATGATTCTATAATGTTGTATTTGAATCTTGTCTACAGTTTTGTATTTCAGAAACACATCTAGATATATGAGAGCACATAAAATTTTAAACTCTACCAGCACTCTAGTACTTCTGTTCAAAGTTTAAGAGCTCAGCATTGGAAGTATTAAACCAACAGATTACTGACTCCAGTCAGCTGTAGTTACAAAACAGTTTTATAGAAAAAAAGCCATTGACAAAAAAAAAAGTGACATTAAAATTAAAAACTTAATTACAAATGTAAAATTTTGTATTTTCAAAACAAGGAATTATTACAGAATTTGGTTTTCCGGCCTCCCCTTTCCATTTCTTAATTCTTTGGTCTTCAGAAGATTTAAATAAAGATATTTTAGTGGAAAAACAGTAAGATTATGCTATTCAAAGTCTGAAAAAAGTCTGTAGCCAGTATACACCATGAAGTAGAATACCTTTTTTAAGATTAAAATAAAATTGATGCTCTATTGATCATCTGTATGTAAAATTCCAGTGACAGACACATGCAAACCCATGATCTGCATTGTGGCATACAAACCTGCATGAAATTAAGATATTTTTTTTCACCGGTGAATTCTAATTACCTTCTTGCTAACAGTGCTTTATCACATAATTAAAAGGTAGCCCAAGGACATCATACTGTCTTATTTCTGTCTTCTCACTAGTTTTTTAAAAGAAAGCCTAAAGATTACAGCATTTGTTGGTGTTTCTAGGCATAGTAGTATACTTTCTCAGTCTCTCATAAAAATCTTTCAAGAAAGTTGATATCAAGTTGTTTCTTGGGTCCGTTTGTCACCATCGTAAAACTAAGGCTCAGTGAAAATTTTCAGTGCATATATGTAACGTGCTAACAAACTTCTTGAACTTCAGTTAACCCCCTTCACTTATTGTCATACTGGTGAAAAATTCAGTATGCACTGTGTTCCCATGGTACTACTTAATTTTTTGTAGTACTGGGCAAATCTTATCCTCAGCTCTTCACTTGGCATAGCTGTGGAATTTGATCATACATATTGTTCTTATCTGGTCATTTCGTCCATCCTCCTAAGATACACTTATATAGGCTCCTATAACAGAACTAGTTTACTCAGTCTCTTGCATGCCTGAATTACTAAGTTTATTTGCTGCATCAGCAGAGGGCTTTAAGGGAGATCAACACCATTTAAAAAAGAAAAAAATTAATAATGATCATTTAATTAATTTGAGCATTACTACTGTGTACCTTATTGATGATGGGCTCCTCCACCACAGAATTTTTCACGGTTTCATTGTGCTCCTCTAATGACTTCACCAAGGAAAGAACAACCATAGAACAAAGAGTAAAGGTAAGACATAACATGCACGGTACCAAGGAAATCCTTAATTCCTTGTTGTTTACTCCAACACAGAACGACTGAAACAACACCGTGTTTGCACACACAAACATACTTATTTTATGTATGTATTCTGAACTCTATATTCAGTACAGAAGACACTGATTTGCCTATTCTGTACTGTAACAGCATCTTGTCCATTACAAAAGTCAAATTTCATGGGAAATACAAGGTTTTCACTGACATTTTATCAGCAACAAGAGGATAAAAATAAAGCCAACACACCTGTGCTGTGTAAGGCTGTCAGTGATCCTACTCAGAAATACATAAAGCACATCTAAAATATTCCAGAATAACTTTCCATACAGCATAGAAACATGGCTGCATTAACAGAAGACATGATTATAAATGGTGCCTCTTCAAAGAACAAGACAAAAGGAACAATTTTCCTTTTAACTGTAGTCTGCAGTGAACACAATTAGCCAAAAATATTTAAACAAGCTAACATTCTAGTTGTGACAGGACAAAGATGAGCTCATGCAGAACTCTGCTGTCATGGTTTTGCTAGTCATGAATACTCTTTTTCTCCTGCATGTTTTGTTTGGATCTGCTTCTTACTCCTATGTTTCTGCTACTCTGTTTTTTCTATAACACAAGAGTTTCTTTTGAATTATTGGAAGTAGAGGTAAGAAAGGAGTAACTAAGGAGGGAGAAAAAAACCCCAAGGCTCCATTACAGAACTTTAAAACACCTAACTGAATCTGGAACCTGGAATCCAGCTAGACACTGTGACAATTTATCACAGACAGAAATACTAACTGTTGTATGACCACTTTTCTTATTACAATGGAATAACAACATGATGGAAACCAGTAACTCAGGAGTACTACAGCAGGAAAAAAATCAAACTTTCCTAAGTCTGACTGATTAGTTACTGGTTTTAGTAATTGAAATTTCAAAGTTTGTCATTCTTCTAAGGAAGTTTTTAGACTGATCTTAATGAAGAGGCTGACTGTAGCTAAGTGGTGTTAGTTGTCAGTCTACAGTCATTTTGGTTTTCAATGAAACAATGGACAAAGATTTTTAATAAGATATACTGTAGATTTGGAGTCATACCCAAATATATTATCTACTCACTCTAGAAAGTAAACAAGTTAGCCAAATAACTTAAAGAAAAGCTCAGAGATTGACATTAAATATTCTATGCATCTTACATACCACACTAACCTCATTCAGGCATCGCTTCTTTGTAAAAATATTTCTGATAAAGGTTTCCTGGACTTCTTCCTGTTTGACCAAGTATTGCCACAGCCTCTTCACAGACAGTGCAACATGAGTGTTGGATCTACAGAAAAAAAGTTAAAATAAATATGTACATAATGTTCATGCTTGTAAAGGACTGCAATATCTTACATTCCAATTGAGATACAGTTAGAAGGAATGCTAAATCAAAACTACAGCAATCAAAACACAGTACAAGAACTACTTGGAAGAATTCTGGTACCACCTTGTGGACAAAAATATGTGTAAGAGAAGGTGCAAAAGGAAGAAGGTAAAGAACATGCAGTATTTTCAGCTCCTACCTTGGAAAATTGAGAAAAATCTCTTTAAGAGATTATACAACAATGAAGTCAGCACACAGATTATTTTTTAGGCTACACAACATGGGTAATTTCTGTTCATTGCTAGTAAGTGCTTCTATCACATGGACAATGAATTACCAACACTTCCTGCTGGGAACACATCATCAGCTGTTTAACACCTCTGAAACAGCCATGACTTTTCAGAAACAAAATCTCAATGTTTGCAGAATCAGATCAGACTCCAATTGTTTAAGCTTATCCCTACAAACTCTATGCTCAAGTAAAACTTGTAAATGTAAAGACAGGTGCTTATGGCATGCTAAAAACCATCAAACCCTGAATGGCTTTATATATTAAATTAAAAATAACACAAGGCAGTAGATACATGTTAAGCTGTTCCTTTTAATCAACTCAAGTTAGTAACACTGAGTGTCACAATTGTGAGGTATTTCACAAAAAAAAAAGACACATTCTGTTGATACTACAACCACAGGTGATATTAACACTAAAAAGGCAGAAATCTGTTTTTGAAGTAACACTTCAAGAAACTGAGAACACTTTTTTGACTGAATATGCAATTATGTGGAGTCACAACTATACAAATATTAAAAACAGCATATATTTTAGGGAAATATCCTTATAAGAATGTCACTTAATTCCATCCAAAGCAATTATTTAAGTCACTCAGCCTTAAATATTTCTCAAGGAAAAACTCATTCATTAAAATAACATAATATTTTTCCACAAAGACACTAAAAATTGTATGTTAAACATCAATAAAAGAACTTTAAAAGTTTAGAAACTTTTGACTGTTTTTCTTGATCTTGCTTTGGACCACAGATGCATGAATTCAATATGTACCCACAGTTTCACAATGCATTAGCTTTATATAGTTATTGAAGTTATTGTCTATCACATGCACTAACAACATAATACTTGATACCTATTAAAGATAATATAGTCAGTGTACAGAAATGAAGCTCACCTGAATGGAGTGTTTGTAGGCTCAAGTAAAGTTTTATGGCGAAGCAATGCAGGACCAGCAGCTAGGGCATCTTCAGAAGCATGAACTGAAATATAATTTTGAGGTGGACCCCCATACAGCTCAAGGCGTCGGAGAAGAACTTGTTCCCAGCGCTGTAGTGTTTTCAAAACTGCATGGCATATTGGGGAGCTAACTGGAAGCTCTACAAAGACAAGTAAACAATAATAAAAAGCCTTCCTTTTTCATTGTAATGTCAACAAATATAATTTCACAGCTGAAGGTGGAAGCATAGTTCAAAGACCTCCAGTAAACTAAGTAAACTTAGTATTTGCAAGTATAAGAATACTAACTGCTTTGCACTTTCACTGTCAAGTACAGGGACAGACTTCTCTGATGCTGACAGAAATTAAGTATCATGGTACAGATCCTCTGGAAGCTATGTCTAGGCATATGGACTGCAGGCAGGTGATGAGGGAAAGCCAACATGGCTTCACAAAGAACAAATCGTACCTTACTAATCTGGTGGCATTCTATGATGGACTGGCTGTGCTGGTGGGCAAGGGAAGAGCAATCAGTGTCCTCTACTTTTTTGACTTCTATAAAGTTATTGTCCCACACATTCTTACCTCTGAATTGGAGGAATATGGATTTGATTATTAATATTGATAATTTACTATTAATTATATAGTTAATGGCTATTTAATTTATAAGAAATTGGCTGAATGACTGCATCCAAAGCACTGCAGTCAAAGGTTCAATGTCCAAATGGAGATCAGTAACAAGTGGTGTCCCTCAGGGTTGTGTACTGGGATAAGTACTGTTCAATATCTTTGATAATGTCATAGATAACGGTAGGGCATGCACCCTCAGTAAATCTGCAGGTAAAACCAAGCTCAGTGGTACAGCTGATGCGCTACAGAGAAAGGATGCCATCCAGAGGGACCTTGACAAGCTTGAGTACTGGGCCCATGCCAATGGGCCTCATGAAGTCCAACAAAGAGCAAGGTCCTGCACATGAGGCAAGGCAATCACCAGGATCAATACAGACTAAGTGAAAAATGGATTGAGAGCAGCCCTGCAGAGAATGACTTGGGGATACTGATGGATGAAAACTTGGACATGAGCAACAATGTGTGCCTGGGGCCGAAAAAGTTAATTGCATCCTGGGCTGCATAAAAGGACTGGCCAGCAACACAAGGGAAGTGATTCTCCCCTTCTAATCTGTTCTCATTAAACCCCAACTAGAATACCACATAAAGCTCTGCAGCCCCAAATAAAACAAAGACCTGTTGAAGTACATCCAGAGGAGGGTCACAAAAAGAAGTCAAAGAGCTGGAACACCTCTCATATGAAGAAAGGCTGAGACACTTGGGATTGCTCAGCCTGGAGAACAGGAGCTCTGGAGACCCCTTAATGTGTCCCTTCAACAATTAAAGGGGATTTGATCCCTCTAAGCTGATCCAACCCACTCTCTAGAGAGATCTACTGCTTACCAGGGGCTTGTATCACAGTCCCACAGACTATTACCTGCTGCTTCACATGTACATCAGTGATAGAGTCAGGAACAATCTGAAGACTATTGAGAAAGATTAGAGAGCCCCAGGAGCAGCTGTAAAGGACTTGGACATGAAGGCAGCCTTTTAATCAATCCTCCTGCTGA